TTTTTTTTTAGAAGTTGATATTTACAGTTTTACAAATCACCTTCCAATTTTAACAAAACCATCTTTGAATTTTGTGAGAAAAGCTTTCAAAATTGCAAAGTAAGAGCGGAGATAACAATTAGTTATCAACAACTGAGGTACCAAAAAAAAGAGGTTGTACCTCCTGAGTGCTGAGTAAATTTAAATCTTGCATCATTAACAGATGTACAACACTTTGTGACAAGAGTGATCATGAGCAGCATATTAAACTGATGCACACATGCTACATTTTCATAAGAAATGCATTCATCAGAATAACTATAAGAAATAAGGACACAATATTTACACAAATTACATAAACCCCTAAGTCATCATGATGACTAAATGCAATTAAGTCTTATTTGGTGCTATGCCACACCCAGGCCTAAATAATTTTCCCATAAATCTAAGCGCCACCTCCAAAAAGTAGGAGCCAAAATTAAAAAAAAAATGTATCTGATGAAAAATATGCTCCCTTTTATTAACAAACGGACAAATGAAACATCTACAACAGCCAATTCCTTTCATGCTCAACAAAAGTCCAACATACCATTGCTAAATTATGGGGACAGAAATGACAATAGGATGGACTAATAAAGGAGATGAGAAAGGTATACAGGAAATAGGATGGAAGGAAATAAAGGAACAGAAATGCAGGTGACGTGACAAAGATGGAGGAAAAGGGGGGGATGATGACATTATGGGCAAATATGAGTTATGGTAAAGTAATATGGGGGAAAGGAGGGAAGGAGGTAAAGATATAGTGGAAATAAAGAAAAGGAAAAAAAAATTATTTTGCCCATCATCTGTGACAGGCAGTTGTCCCTGTGCTTAACTAATTAAGCCCTATGCCATGAAGACGCATGGGCGAGTGGATGTATAGGCTGACATTTTCTTGACCTTGGCACTAGTTAGAAGTGAGTGGTGAGCTGGGTGGACCCAAGAGCCAGCCTAGACAACATGCAGAAGTGAAAATTCTTGCCTCCACCAGGACTTGAACTCTGACCCCTTGGTAGTCCAGCCCGTAGCCAGTCACTATATGGACTGTGCTATCCCAGCTCTTGGTCATGTACTAGTAGTAATAAATGTTCTAATCAGCATTATGAGAAATTTAGTTTACCTAGTGGCCTGAACAGCTGAGGGTGCACATGCCAAGCTGCACNCAGGCTGCACTGAATACAGACTAAAGGTCTGACACCTTGGAGACTGTCTCAGCCTGTATCATCAGATACTGATGATGGAGGAAGACACAATCTACAAAATGCAAGACTTTTACTATATATGGATGTGGCTGATTACCCAAGATATAATTGCATTTATACAACTGTGAATCTTCCAGATTGCCTGGTTAATGTTTAAGAGATAAAAATGCTGTTTAATGGCATATCAACTATGTTGGAAGTCAAATGTTTATGGGAACAAGATAAGACAACATAAAATAAAATCAATCATACAAAAACATACTCTTACATCACAAAAGGCAACAGCAAGAAAGAATATAACACAAAGTTGCTGAGCAAAACAATATTTATGCAACAAGCAATGATAAAATTACAGAACACCAACTGCACACACCACATACAACAGGCATGACAGATGTACACTAACACTGTACTGCTTCTGCGTGCATGACTGCCATTGTCAGAGTGAAACACTCACACTCCTCTGGTTGGTCATCAGGGCTGACTGCCACAGTTGGCAGTTTCGAGTTGCTTTCA